CCTGCCTGGGCCACACAAACCCTGCCTGGGCCACACAAACCCTGCCTGGGCCACCTCAGGTACCAACTGCTGGGCCACAGACACCACAAACCTCAGGGCAACACAACCAACACTCCCTGCCCAGGGTTGGAGGCTCGGGGGAAGGGGGGGTTACTGGTAGGGGAAATGGGGTTCCTGCATTTTATGTGTTTAAGGCTCAGTCTGGGAAAGGGAAAAGGGCAGGGGAAGAAGAGCAGAAGCTCCGGCACTGCTGGAAGAAACGCTCAGCAGCAAGGCCGGGCTTAGAGCTGGGGACATGCTCCAGGAAAGCCAAGGCCAGGCTGAATTCTGGGGACACGCTCCAGGAAGGCCAAGGCCAGGCTTAGAGCTGAGGACATCCTCTAAAAGGCTGGGATTAGAGCTGAGGACATGCACCAGGAAGACCAAGGCAGACTTAGAGCTGGGGACACCCTCCAGGAAGGCCAAGGCCAGGCTTAGAGCTGGGGACACGCTCTAGGAAGACCAGGCTTAGAGTTGTGGACATGCTCCAGGAAGGCCAAGGCCAGGCTTAGAGCTGGGGACACTCCAGGAAGGCTGGGCTTAGAGGTCTCAGGGAGATGAGACACCACCTCACCATTGTCCTCGAGTGTTTCCACTTGGTCAGTTTGTTGAGGATCCTCAGCAGGTTGATGCAGGAGAACAGGTTCCTCCAGCAGAACTGGTTGTTGTCTCCAGCTTCCTGCAACAAAAGGAGAAGAGTGATTAAGGGTGACCAAGACCAAGTGTTCAGCAGCCCCACCAGAGGGGTCCTCGTGCACAAAGCCTGTGTTTTTACTGCCTGCACAAGTTTTATTCCTGCTCCTCACTGGATTTATCCTCCCTGCAGATGTTCCAGCAGAAGGAGTGGATTCTGGGAATCACCAGCTGGAAAGTGAACAAAGCCAGCAGGACATGAGCTGGGCCTTCTGGTCAGGGGTGTTTTGGTCTCCCCTAAGAACAATCTGTTTGGTGGATGGTGACACCAAACAGAATCCCAGGACTCCTGAGGTTGGAAAAGCCCTCCCAGCCCATGGATCCACCCTGGGCCCCATCCCCACCTTGGCCCCCAGCCCAGAGCACTGAGTGCCACGGCCAGGCCTTCCTGGGACACCTCCAGGGATGGGCACTGCAAACCTCCCTGGGCAGCCCCTGCCAAGGCCTCACCACCCTTTCCTTGAGGAAATTCCTCCTGGAGCTGATCAGTTCAGTGAGCTGGTCAAATATTACTGTACATATCATTTTTGAGGCCAACAAGAACGTGCTCCTGACTGGGTTTATTTAACTCTGGGATTAAAAAAGCCACTCTGAGCAAACACACTTTTGTGCCAGCAGAGGCTGTGCAGAGGTGGGGTGTCACCACACCAGGATGTCACTGGGATGTCACCAAGCTGCTGGTGGGTGCTGTGTGCTGCTCTGGGGGTGCCAGCTCATCAGGAGTGCCCAGGCCCAATCTGCTCCCTCCACACCAAGGAATTTTTCCAGACTAAGCCACTGTCCATTTCTCACACAGATGGATTTATTTGCCACCAACCCGATGTTGTCTCTAGAGCTTCAAGTAGGGGAAGGTCTTTCCATCAGGTTTATGGGAGGAGGGAACAGGCTGGAATCCCGGTTTTAAGGGGTGGATCGAGCCCCTCCCAAACACAGGGAGACTGGCAAGGAATCCAAGAGGACTGGCAAGGAATCCAAGAGCCTTTCCCATGCCAGGATGGGGGAATCCCCCAGTACCCAGCTGGGATTGCAGCCACTCCTGATCTACACCGTGTGGGGACAGCAGTTATCCCACAGGTCCCTCTTTGGGGACAGCACTGCTGAAATCCTGGGAATAAACCTCCCCCAGGAATAAAGCACAGCCACACATCGCTCTGCTGGGCCCCCAGAGCAGAATCCTCTGTCAGCAGGACTGTGGCACTCTGGGATGTTCCAATCACTCACCAGGGGGACAAAAAAAGACACTGACATTTGCCTCAAGCAGTTGGGAACGTCTAATTCCCAATAAACCCTCTCTTCCATGGGGATCCTCCCAGAGATGAGTAAAATCCAAGTTGGTTCCCACTTATTTTCTGATTAAATCGATCTCCCACGAGGAAAACATCTGTGTCTGCTGGAGGACAGCAACCTGCAACGGCTCCCAAACTGGGGACCCGGCCCCACTGGGAATATTTTCCCTAAAAAACGCTCAGTTTTCTCCTAGAGGCTTAAAACTTATTGAGAGGATTAGTGTGAGGCAGCAGAGCCCTCAGCGACCTGTCACTAGATGTCCCCATTGATCCAGGATCCAGCACCAGGACTCCCAGCCCCTGGATCTCGGAAAAAAAATAAAATCTTTCTCTCTGACGATTTTAACCTTTACACAGCAAAGGAAAACAACGCAGGGTTATGATTTTAGCAGCCAGGCACCGTTGGATCATCCCTGCCCAGACTGGGCTTGCTCAGGCTCCTTCTTAATGATTCCTGCATCATTTCGGGGCTCCACTCCCTGCTAACCCCAAAGCTTTTCCCTGCTCCGTGTCCTGTCTGAGTCCCACTCTGCCTCTGAGTTATTGCAGTTGTGAACCTGCCATAATCACTGTCTCCTCTGCAGTCTGTGTGCTTAGATATGGTCTCCATAATACTTAAGGCTCCTCTCCAGAGGGAATTGGGTTCATTCCTTAATCTGCTTGGAGGTACCTTATGAAACACGAGTGCTCAGAGCAATTTAAACCAGAGCAATTGAAGCATTTCTTAAAGCAGGAGAGTTTTGTCTTGACAGTACAAGGGGAAAAGGCCTCAGGTTGGGCCAGGGGAGGGTCAGGTTGGGGCTGAGGAGGAATTTGTTGCTGGAAAGGGTGGTGAGGCCTTGGCAGGGGCTGCCCAGGGAGGTTTGCAGTGCCCATCCCTGGAGGTGTCCCAGGAAGGCCTGGCTGTGGCACTCAGTGCTCTGGGCTGGGGGCCAAGGTGGGGATGGGGCCCAGGGTGGATCCATGGGCTGGGAGGGCTTTTCCAGCCTCAGGCATCCTGGGATTCTATTCCCTGAAAGGAAAAACGCTGAACCCACCTATTTTTACGGGGTGCCCAACACCAGCAGTGCCTCCTCCCTCCCCACCTCCCACGGCGGCTCAGGGGCAGCGACGGGAGGAACTTTCACATCAGGAGGGGGGGAAAAAAAAAGGTCTGATTTTGGAGAGGTTTGGGATGAAGAGAAAAGAAGTCAGAGGAGAGAAAACCAAAATCCTTCCCCAGCCTTTCACATCCAGCACTAGAGATCCCAGAGTCCCTGCCTGTGGTGCTTACCAGGCTTTCTGCCGTGAGCTCGGGCAGGTCATGGACCGTGCAATGAGGATAATCCAGGACGGAGACCCTGCGGAAAACAGGGAAGCAGGGAGTCATTAGGAACAGGAAAACAACTTCTGAAGATGATCCACATGATTACACCCAGCAACTGTCAAATCTTCCTTCCCTAGGCCTGGGGTTTGAGTTCCAACGGCAGCGCTGCTTCATGGAACAAGGAATTTGGGTTGGGAACAATCCCTTCTCCGGCACTGACAGGTCTCCCTCCTGCATTTCCAGCGGCACAAACATCCAAACGGGATCCCAACCTCACCACTGCCTCCCCTTGGAGCTTACATGGAGCACAGGGATCCCCCTTGGCTCCCAGGAGCATCCCCAGGGCTGTTCATAAGGACTCCAAGGGTTTGGATCCACGAAGACAGGACGGATGGGCTATTCATGGCATGTTTAAAAAGGGATAAACCCACCCAAATATACAAAATATACCATACAAAAAAAACCTCAAGATAGATCTGAGGTTAAAATCCATCAGGTTAAAATGGAGATGTCTGAGTGGCAGCAGGAAAATTCACAGTGAGGGTGTCGAGTCTTTGGGAGCCCTCCAGGCACGTGGACTTCAGAAAAGGAGTCAATGAACACCCCAAAAGTATAAATTTATATAGCATGTAAATAATTTGCCACAAATGGTTTTGGCATCACCTCTGATATTTCCTTTTGCAGCATCTCTGGAGTGGGGTCTGTGCACTGGAATGGGACCAAAGCCCACATCTGGAGTGGGGTCTGTGCATCTGAGTGTTACCAAATCCCACATCTGGAGTGGGCTCTGTGCATCAAAATGGGACCAAATCCCACATCTGGAGTGGGGTCTGTGCATCTGAGTGTGACCAAATCCCACATCTGGACTGGGATCTGTGCATCAGAATGGGACCAAATCCCACATCTGGAGTGGGGTCTGTGCATCAGAGTGTGACCAAATCCCACATCTGGAGTGGGGTCTGTGCACTGGAATGTGACCAAATCCCACATCTGGAGTGGGGTCTGTGCATCTGAGTGTGACCAAACCCCCGGGATAATTCCTTCTGCAGGGCAGTGCCTGCTGTTGGCTGTGATCTGACAAACCTCCCTGGATCAGAGCATCCAGCTGCACATCCCCCCTCACCCACAGGTGTGTGTCCTGTGGAACTTCCACCAGAGAGCAGGGGAAAGAGCTCAGTGCTCCTGGGACACGTTTTCTACCACCTTAAAGTGCGGGACCAAAAGTGGAAATGTTTCTAGCAGGGAAAAAAATCAACACCTTACTTCCTGTTTTTCCAAGTGTTCCCTCTCACACACACAAACCACACCGTGCAGGAGACACACCAGCCCACACACACAGCTGAAGAGCAACAAAAAGAGCATCAGAAAGGGAGAAAAGGGATCTTTTCACCATCCCAATGTCCCTCTGAATGGGGAAATCCCACCCTGGTGAGCTGGGGAAGTGCTGGGCTCTCTCTGTGGTGGTGCCACCAGTTCCCTGCTCAAACTGGGGCTGGTGCCTGTCTCAGATCAGCACCAAAAGGCAGTGACAACCACGTAAAAGGTGAATTTTGACAATAAAATATGGAAAAGATCAAGAGGACACTCCCCACCGGCCTTTGTGGAGCTGTGGCCCATGGGTGGCACTGGGCTGCTCCCCAGGAGGTTGAAAACAAGCCTGTTTTATTTTAGCAGGGGGTTTTAGTGAGAGGTTGGAAACCCACCCCCCATTCCTCCCATCATTGTGCCAAAGGGATTGGCTCCCTCCAGAGAATTCCTGCCCCAGAGGTCACAGGTCCTACCACACATTCCCACCAGGGTTCCTCATTCCCAAGGCCCTCCCTGCCCCGTCCCCTCTCCCCCTGGCCCAGAGGTGGCTGTACCCGTTCTTGGCAGTGATGTAGGACATGATGTTCTGGTTGAAGAACTTCAGGATCAGAGGGATGCAGTTGGCAAACACCAGGTGCTGGGACACGTACTCGAACTGGGGGAAGAGAGAGAGAAGGGAAACTGGACAGAACTGGGACAACTGGGAGCACCACAAGGGAATGGGGACGTTTCCAGCCAAGAGTAAAGCACTGCTGATGGTTTGAGACAACTCCCAGACCATCTTCCCCCCCGGCCTGTGCCGTGTCCAGCAGCTGGAAAATCCCATTTGCCAAAGGGTGGACACAGGAGCTTTGTGGCAGTGCTTTAGGAACAGCTGCACCCAAAGCAAACGTGGCTTTTCCAAACTAAAGCTCTGGTAAAACGGCATTTGGGGAAGAGGGAAGGAGGAGATGCAGCTACTACAAGAGAAAACACAATAATTCCTGCTGCTCTCTCACACTGATCCCACCTCCCTTTGAAATTTGGACTGAAAAAAGATCCTTGGCTTCGTAAATGCTTTCAGTTTTTCTCCCTCTCAAAGCATTAAATGGTATTTAAGGTCCTTTCCAGCTCAAACCATTCCACAACTCTGTGACTTTCATGGCGCTCCCTGAGAACTTTTGGCACCAAAAACTGGTGGTGCCTCACCCAAAAATCACACCCAGAGGCACAAAACCCCCCTGATTCCCCCCTGAGCTTTCTCCAGGCTCAGCTCCAGGTTCCTCCTGCCTCGGAGGAAGAAAAGAGAGGAGCTGCTCTGGAGCTGCTCTGGAGTGAGAAAAATGAGTGAGGTGACGTGGGGAAACCCAGAACAAATGTGGGACTGTCAAAATGTGGGGTTTGTTTCATTTTATCCAATCCAATCTGTGGATTTATACTTGTCCCATTGTTTCATTTTATGCAATCCAATCTGTGGATTTATACTTATCCAGTTTCATTTTATCCCGTGCAATCTATGGATTTATATTTCCCCTCAGATGAATATCAGTGGGCAGTAAATATCAGTAAATAACACAGATGGGACTTGTGCCACGCTGAAACCTTCAAAAGAAAGAAAATATTTAGAAATGCTTAGAAAGCACTGATTGTTTGACTTGCAGGACGGGTGGAGAACTGGACCACAGCTCATGTCTGTCCTGCTTTTTTGTTTTGGACCAAGGAAAGCCCTGGAGTGGGTGCAGATGGCACAAAAATCAGATTATACCTCGGTCTCTGCTGAAACTGGAGCCCCAAGAACATGATCCTGCCAAGACCCAGATTAGCTGACCTCGTTGAGGTCCTTCCCAGCCTATTTATGGTCCCTGGAGATGACACAGAGCAAAGGAAGGTCTTGCCTAACCCCCCTCCCCTTCCCCCTTCTGCCAGGGGGGCTCGTGCTCGGGCTCTGTCCTAAATTTTACCATGAGCAACCACAGCAGGAATTTTTCCAGAAGTCCTAAAGCTCCTTCCACGTGAGTGGATAAACAATGCTGCCAAAACACAGCTGAGGAACATTTCAGGCAGGTTCTCTCAGCCTGGGATAAACCCTGACCTGGAGCTGGGATGAGCACCACGGACACGTCATGGAAACCCCTCCTGGAAATCTTTTGGGAGAGGGTTTATCAGGACACACCAACTCCAAGAGCAGCCTGGCAGTGGTCAACCCTGCTGTTGGCTCACCTGGTAGATGTGGTTGAGCTTGAAGTGCTTGAGGAGCAGCAGCAGCGAGGCCGAGATGCTCTTGACGATGATCTCCTTGTGCCTGTTCACGTCGATGCCCAGCTTCATGCTCTGCAGGACGGTGACACTGGGAGGGAGGGGATGGAACAGGGGGTGTGGGAATCATAGAATCATAGAATCAGCTGGGTTGGAAGGGACCTCCGAGGTCATCCAGCCCAACCCTTGATCCAACCCCGCCGTGGTTCCCAGCCCATGGCACTGATGCCACATCCAGTCTGTCCTTAAACACCTCCAGGGACGGAGAATCCCCCACTTCCCTGGGCAGCCCATTCCAGTGGCTGAGCACCCTCTCTGCAAAGAAATTCTTCCTGATATCCAACCTAAACCTCCCCTGGCACAGCTGAAGACCAAACCCTCTTGTCTTGCTGATCCCTGCCTGGGAAAAGAGCTCAACCTACCCCCGGCTCCCCCCTCCTGTCAGGGAGTTGCAGAGAGTGAGGAGGTCTCCCCTGAGCCTCCTCCTCTCCAGGCTGAGCCCCCCCAGCTCCCTCAGCCTCTCCTCACAGCACTTGTGCTCCAGTCCCTTCCCCAGCCTCGCTGCTCTTCTCTGCCCCTGCTCCAGCCCCTCCAGGGCCTTCCTGAGCTCAGGGCCCAGAGCTGGACACAGCACTCCAGGGGTGGCCTCACCAGTGCTGAGTCCAGGGGCAGAATCACTTCCTTGGACCTGTTGGCCACACTGTTCCTGAGCCAGGCCAGGATCCACTGGCCTTCTTGGCCACCTGGGCACACTCTGGCTCCTGTTCAGCCTCCTGTCCAGCCCAACTCCCAGTTCCCTTCCTGCCTGGCTGCTCTCCAGCCCCTCTGGCCCCAGCCCGTGGGGCTGCAGGGGGTTGTTGTGGCCAAAGGACAGGACTCTCCTTGTTGTGGGAACAAGGAGGACTGGGGAGCTCAGGTTCATCTGGACAAGCTCGGTGGGAACAGGGACCCTTCTCTTCCCCCCGGGACTCCCGTTCCCATCCGCGCTTCCCGGTGACACCAAAGCACGTTAAAAAAAAAAGGGGGGGGAAAAAAAGCGGATTTCCCTCCACCAGCACTCCCAGGGGATGGGTATGAAGGACACCTTCCATATGCTGATGTATCTTTATGATTTGGGTCGATTAGCAGGGTTTTATCATTTGGGTCCTTTTTCAATCAGAGCACAGTGGCTGCCGACCGCGCCGGGATTGTCGCGCTCCCGAAAATCCAACGGCACTTCCCTGGCTTCCACCACACCTCGCCACACAGACACCCCCAAACCTGGAGCCCCCCAGAGCCAGCAGCAAACCCCAGCTCCAGCTCGGCCCAAGGCTCCAAGGCCCAGCAGTGATGAAGGGGATGAGGGGGATGAGGGGCCCCTGGGCAGCACTCACGGCATCTCCTCGGGCAGCACGTCCGCCAGGATGTTGATGGAGTCAGTCTTGGCTTTGGAGGTGGGGGCAGCAGCCAGGAGGATCTTCAGCAGGGCTATCTGCAGGAGAGGGAGGGGTGCTGGGCAGGGGTGGTCCCGGGAAGGGAAGTCCTTCCTTCTCCTCCACGTGCTGAAGCTGGACAACTTCAAGCCAGCTCTACCAGAGCACACCCAACCTCTCCTTTTATCCCTCGGGAACACAGGCCAAGGGTGGGGATCATGGCAGCTCTGAGCTGAGCTTAAGGCATCACATGCACCTCAGCTCTGCTGGTGTGGATAAAAGAAACAAAGGACACCTGGAATAGTTTTGGGCTCCCACCAATGTGGAGGACTTTGTTCCTTGCTCCCAATCCTCTGCTCACATCCTCTTTTCCAACCACTGACCACGTCCCTGGGTGCCTACCCCCCCTCCTCCTCTGAATCCCTCCCCTCAGGCTGTACTTTCCACCCAGCTCTGCTCTGGATCCCCACCAAAATCTCACCATCCGAGTCCTGACCACACCCCAGCCATCCTGTGCCGAGCTCTGCAGCGCCCAGACCAGCTCCCACCACTCCCCACTCCAAAGCTCTTCCTTCCTTTCGGTGGCCTTACCATGTACTGGGGGAGGTTGTACAACATGGCTCGATACAGGACCTCACAGGGGGTTTCTTGGACTTCCTCTTCCCCCTGTCGCAGAGAAACAGTAGAAAACAAGGGGAAAATGAAGTAAAACAAAAAAAAAAAAAAGAATTCCTGGATTCCTCTGACACACCTCGGTCTGGTGATGGGGGGCAGCAGCTTCTTACCAGAGACATGGGGCACTTCTCCAGCTCCTCCTCATTCTTGATCTGGACATCTGAGATGGAGACGTACTTGTGCTGGAAAAACCCCACACAGAGGCACAGCAATGTCACCACCCAGGGAGGGGACAGCCAGCGATGGCAGCAGGCACTGCTCCCAGCAATATCCCAGTTATATCCCCAATATCCCAGTTATATCCCCAATATCCCAGTTACATCCCCAATATCCCAGTTACA